CTTGGAAAAGCTCATGTTTCTACAGTAACAGACTGAAGCAAGTTCACCTGTAGATGTGATCAGCTTAGGTGGGTAGCTAAGGAATATGCATGGAGATACTGCAAGTGCTCCTGTACCTCACCTTTTATGAAGTGTGTGTAAATAAAATCAAGTGAAGCATGGCATTATGATTTAGTATGTTAAAATCAAGGAATTTCAATGTTGGACAAGATTTTCATATGAAGTCCATTAATCCCTCCCCAGTATGTTCTTTAAAGGAGTGATTCAGGGTGTGTGTGTGTGTGTGTGTGTGTGTGTGTTCGTTCGTGTGTGTTCGTTCCTTTAAAGGAGTGATTCAGGGTGTGTGTGTGTTTGTGTTCCTTTAAAGGAGTGATTCAGGGTGTGTGTGTGTGTGTGTGTGTGTGTGTGTGTTCCTTTAAAGGAGTGATTCAGGGTGTGTGTGTGTGTGTGTGTTCCTTTAAAGGAGTGATTCAGGGTGTGTGTGTGTGTGTGTGTGTTCCTTTAAAGGAGTGATTCAGGGTGTGTGTGTGTGTTCGTTCCTTTAAAGGAGTGATTCAGGGTGTGTGTGCATGTGTGTGTATGTGTGGTGGTCTTGGGCCTTTTGATTCTCTCTTCAACCAGAGAAGCTCTGCTTCTGTCCATTTTGCTGGTTAATGATTTTTCTTGAATTTCCTTTCTTAGGTAGCTTTACTTATGAACCTTTTACCTCCCAGTACCTTTTCTTTCCCACCTGGCTTCATAATATTGTCTTAGATGCTCAACTCCTACCTTCTTTCATTTCCTTCAGGTGATTCCAGCCACAAGATTCCTATTTCAAACTTTGAATCTGGGCATGACCAAGCAACTGTGTTAAAAAAGCTTTATCGATTTATTCACCCATACCCAGGGAATTGGCCACCTATCTACTGCAAGGTAATTTCAGCGAAGAATTTCTTTTGAGATATCCACTTAGATATCAAATAATCCTCAAAAGGAAACCAACGATTAGTTGTGTGTTAAAACATGTTCATTCCAAGTTGTTCCCAGTGTTAGGTGTAATGCATTTTCTTTTATATTTCACTGTAATTGAACTGCAAAAACTTCTTTAGTTCTCGTGTTTTTTGAATTCTCTACTTGAAATACCCTTAGTGTTTTTTAACATGAAATGGATAACCTAGTCTGTAAATCTATCCAATTAAGATTACCTTTTATTCAGACTCTTTGTCCCAGTCATCTTTTTAGTTAGTAGTAAGATCATCTTTTTGAACACATTACAGAGATTATATTCTTTATTTTGTTTAAATCTTACAGACTGGGAGTCAGAGAATTGGGTTTTAACCTTAATACTTGTTTGTATAACAATGAAGAGATTAATCTTTTTATTCATTTACCTATTTTTAAATTTTGGTTTAAAGATTTAAAATAACCAATTAATATAATTGGTTATTAATAGCAATATTACTTTCCTAATGTGTTGTTTCTTTTTAATAGTTCTCATTTAATTGTTGCAAATTCTTCAGTCTCTCCCTTCCCATCACCCCCATCTTCCCTACCCACTCAGTGTGAAAGAAACAGCATTAATTAAAAGTAGGAGAAAATACAAGTACAGTTTTCTTTCCTTTCTTCAGTCTGATGATAGAGCCAGAGTGAATTGGTGTTTGAAGCATATGGCGAAAGCATCCGGTAAGAAGGCCCCTGGGATGCTGCCCCAAGTGCATTATGGTACCAGCATTGGTTTCATTTCATGTTGTGTTCTGTGCACCTAAATTCATTAGTTGTATTTCTTTTTCTGTTTTACTAATGGAAGACATCAGGCAAGATCTAGAACTTCTCACTGTAGAGGATCTTGTAGTGGGGATCTACCAGCAAAAATTTCTCAAAGAACCCTCGAAAACCTGGGTTCGGAGCCTCCTAGATGTGGCCATGTGGGATTATTCTAGCAACACAAGGTATGAATAGTGTTTTGTGCAGAGTGATTTTGACTTTTCTGATCCAGAAAATAAGGGTAGGGTGAGAGTTTTCATTTTTATGAAGTATGTTTTTGTGGAACCTTGAAAATCTCATTGTATTTCCTTGAATGTAAGATGAGTTGATTATAAGATACATTGTTAATTTATCGCCACACAAAAAAATTACCAAAAAAATCTGACACAGCACTTTATTACTTGGAATTTCTGAATTGATGAAAGAGTATTTCATGTGTACTAGAGATGCTTTATATAGCATTCTTGATGTTTTATAGAATCTTTGTACTTACATTAAAAAATACATACATGAAATGACAAGATTTTTTTTAATAATTTCAGAAAAGTTGCAGTAGTACAACAATGTCCTATATATCATTTTTTGATATTCTCTAATTGTTAACATTGTAATCAGGTTTTTTTTTTTTAAACAAATTCCTCACCAAATATATATACATTGTTCCTTTTTCTGGGCAATTTGAGAGTAAGTTGCTGACCTAAGGTCTTTGTACCCTGAATATTAGTATAGTTCCTAAGAACAAGAACCGATGTATCACCACAATAAAATTAGCAAAATCAGGATATTACCATTGATAAAATCTGTTTTCCACCTAAAGGATTTTGTTAGTTGTTCTAAATGATGTTTCTTAACAGCCAGAAAACAAAAAAAAACTACTGATTTTAGTCCCTTTAGAATCCTTTAACCTAGAACAATTCCTCAGTCTCCCTTGGTTTTTGAAGAATACAGGCCAGTTATTTTCTGTAATGTTTGTGTTTGATTTACCTGGTTTCTTTGTTATTACATTGGGGTTTTATATTTTTATATGGCAGGAATGCTACAAAAGTGCCATGTCTTCTCAGTAGTTTTATTTCTGAAGACAGATGGTGTCAGTTTGAACTATTATAGTATCTGCCAGTTTTCTCCATTTTTAAGTTATGTTTTGCACCTTATAATTAATGTTTTGTGGGAAGAGACTTTGAGATTACATAGATATTCTATTCTTCAAACTTAATCTACTGATATTTTGCCTGAGTAATTTTTTTTTCCAATTTACTGAATTTGTGAAGTAGTGATTTCTAATCTAATCGTTGTTCTACATTTATTCGTTGACAGTTGACTATGAGAAAGAGATTTTCCTTTTCACCCATCCCACTAACTTTTCATTTATTTTCCAAGGACTCATTAATTCCTATTTTATTCAATGAATTATAATCTCTTATCAACTTATTTTTATGCTCAGGTGTTCCTTTTATGGCCACTGGACATCCCTTCAGAACAAAGGACTTTGTCTTTTGTTTCTTTGTAGGCTTCTTGCCTCTAGCACAGGATATTCCAGGCTTATCTTGTACTTTCTTTGCTGAAATTTATGATTAGCCATTTCTTCAAGAAGCCCTGATTCCTTTACACTGAGGAGAGTATTTAAGAGGATAGGATCTAGGGTTCTGTTGCACTTGGGTTTGTACTGAATCTAGAATTCCAATCCAGCACTATAAGGCTTTTCCAGTTTTCTGCTTATTGTTTCTGCATTTCTCTGGTGTTCATTGTTTTTGCTAGAATACATTGAAAGTAATTTTGGAATTAAGTAAGAACCACTTTTAAAAAAGACATTAATAGTTCAAATTTTGTTTTCAGCTGTTTTTAGCCTGAGGGTATATAGTCAAAATACTGTTAGAAGGTTACTTGTGTTGGCGCTCCACCCCCATTCATGCAGCTAAATTATTAAACTTACTCACTTGAAATACAAAATCCATTAGTTTGTATTCTGTTTTTGTTTTTACTCATTCTTGTTGATTGTGTTATCTTTGGGTTGTATAATTCATGAGCATGTTTCAAAAGAAGATATATTCAAAAATACACTTAAGTATAGCTCTGTTAAAACAAAACTTATTGGACTGTATTAAATTTATAAATTAACTTGGGGAGAACAGGAATCTGTAATGTTCTCTCCAAAGACAAGAGACATTTTTCTATTCAGCTCTACTTATTATATCCTTCAAGTCTATTGAAAATATTTGTATACAGGTTGTATATATCTGACACTGTTGAATTTTTTTTGGCGGGGGCAGAGCCTTGGTATCTTTGTTTCTTCTGTGGAAATTGATTTGGTTAGACTTTCTAACACTAATGGGATCACTTTGGTGTAATGTCTGCTTCCCTTAGGAAACTACACATTTTACATAAGTTTTCGATTATTGTTTTAAAAATTCTGCAAAGTCACTAATCTTTTATAGTTCTTAAATTTTTTTCTGTTTCAGTGATTAGCTCATAATCTTGTTTCTTCATACTTCTTTTCCCTCTAAAGCTAGTATGTTGTTTTATCTTTTTTTCAAAATGACAGACTTTAATTTATTACATCTGCTCTTTATACCATTCTCATTAAGTTCTATTTTTATTTAACTTTCTTGATATTTTGTAGTTCTTTTAGTTTTTGGGCACCAGAAGTTTAATTGATTTATTCTTGCATTTAGTAGAGTGACTTTTCTTCTAAACATTGATTTCCATTGATTGATACATACAGTATTTCATTATTATTTTTTTTAATCTGAAGTTTGACTTTCTTTAACCTAGAAGTTGATATATAGCTCTTAGGCATAAAGTTTTTGTGGCGCTTGTTTTTGTTGGTGAATTCCATTGTCTTGCATTGTTATGAGAGTGTTGTTTATAATATTTCTACTTTGTACATTAAAAGTTTATTGGTGTTTCAATTTTTTGCTTAATTTTCTGTAGATGAAGATGCATTGTTCCTTTGCTTTCTCTTGTGTGGTGGTTTGGGGAGATTTATATATTTTTTTCATGAAAATAATAGCTTTTAATATCATTATAAGGGAAAATAGTTTTTTAATTTTATAATAGCTTATTTTTACATCATTTTGTGTATTTTTCCATCTCAGTTGCAATCCCCTTGGGCTTCCTATCACCAAATCACCCTGTTCCATCACCATAGTCCAGTGCATTTCCCTCCCCCCCCACTCTGTTTTTGATCCTTTTCCCCACTCCACCCCCACAAAATGTCTCTGGTATATAGCTGTTTATCATTACCATTATTTTCTTGCCTGTTCCATTATATTCCTGCTATGAGAGAAACCATCCGGTATTTTTCCTTTTCTGTCTGGCTTATTTCACTAAGCATGATCTTTTCCAGTTCCATCCATGTTGCTGCAAAAGGCATGTTTATTTATTTTTTTTTTGGTTGCTGATCAAAACCTAACAAAGAACACACAAAAAAAGAAAACTTCAGAACAATCTCCCTAATGAACACTGATGCAATAATCCTCAACAAAATCTTAGCCAACAGAATCCAACAATGCACTAAAAGAATAATACACCATAACCAAGTGAACTTTATCCCAGGAACACAAGGATGGTTCAACATCAGACAATGAATTAATGTAATACATCACATCAACTGGCAAAAAAGTAAAAACTACAAATCATATCAATAGATGCAGAGAAGGCATTTGACAAAATTCAACACCTATTTACATTTAAGGCCCTCAAAATCTTCGGAATAGAAGGAGCATACCTCAACATGATAAAAGCCATGTATGACAGACCCACAGCCAATATTATCCTCGATGGAGAAAAGCTGAAAGCCTTTCCCTTGAGATCAGGTTATATTTCTTAGTTCAAGTGCTCCCTCTTCTGTCAGTGAGCAAAGCATGGTTTCTTTGACTAGTGTCAAGGTGGTAGGGTGCAGTTTAGGTCTCTTTTCTTTTTTCCTGAGCATATGTTTTCCTTTTGTCTTTCTTTGTCTTTTCCTTTCTTTCCTCCTCCTCTCTCTCTCTCCTTTTTAGCCTTAATGCTCAGAAACCTCACTCTCAAGACTGCCTGCCAGGCACTTTCTTCCCCTCTCCTATAGTCTGATTTTGCTTGACTATTTAAAGGTCTGAAGGGAGGATCTTTCCAATGGAAGAAAATGGCCTGAATTCAGAGGACAGAACATAGAGTTTAAGAAAAAACAGTGAGTGAATTTGATGAGAGCAGAAGGTTTGTGTAGCTGTAAGGTGACCATGGCTCTTAAGGCAGGTAAGGCAAGGTTATCACAGAAAAGAAGAAATCTTGCCCCTGACAGAGGAGGAAAGGAGAAGACTTGAGACCTCTCAAGATTGAGAGGGAAAGGGGAGTGTAAAGGTCTTTGCATTCCATGTCATTTAAGTGAGGTGGTATTAGAATTTGGGGAGTACTTTGCAAACTTAGAAAATAAGATTTCTCTGGTCTGATACAACTTCAGAGAGTACAATTTCATAAATGAAACACACTTGAGAGGCATTCATTTGGAGTCAGAGTTGAGGCCATGGACTGTTAATAGCTTAAAAAATAGTTCTGGTATTTGACAGATTTTCAGAATAAGTATTTCTTCGCTAGAAAATATACTTAAATGTTTAAGGAATTTGTTGAAATTATTTGGAGGAAGATTTAAAAAATAGGTGTAAAAACACTTAAAGAAATTTCATTTTAAACAGCTGATTTGTAAGTTTAGAGGTGTTTTTCCCTGGGGTTAACTTTTTCTAGGATAGTCATCTTTGTTGTTTTCCTGAAATACATTGTTACCTTTTCACTTGCTTTAATTTCAAATTTGATCCAGTCTACAATGAAAAATGTGTATATCTAGTTGGTACATTTTGGGCAACTAGCAAAACTAGATAAAAATGTGGGTTAATTTAACCTAAGTTTTCATGTTAGAATTTTATGAATCAATTTCTGAATTGCGTTTTGGAAAAAGAGCAAGAACCTCTTAATCTTATTTTTATATAGTCTTTCATTCAGTTAAATGGCTAATATTCAATGCAAATAGTGGATTTTTTACACATTATTTAGCATGTTTGTAATTTTTAAATGTAGATTCTTACGCAGTTAAGAAAAGCTTTGGACTACACAGCAAGTGCTGTTCGGAGTATCAGTAGACAGTGTACTCAGTGGAAGGCGAGTCATGGATTCCAGGGTTCTCATCAGGGAACCCTGATGAGATACTGATCTCCAGCGTCAGCTCCTGAGGTCTCCACTCAAGCAGTGATGCTTCTCCTAAGTGATGCATCTCCTTGCTATCTTACCTAAAATTTCATATCTTTCTTTATCCCCCCTCCTTAGGAACTCATTAACTTACTATGTAAAATGCTTGTATATCTTCTTTGGTTTGTCTTCCCCACAGAGTAAGTTTTTTGTGAACAGTTTCTGTTTCATCTAATACTGTATCCCTGAAACAATGCCTGGAAAATAGTATGCACTCAATAAATGTTTGTTGAATGAGTGCATTATCCATTGTAATAATATGCCTCTAGAACACTCATTTTTATTTTATTTTATTTCAAGGTGTAAAATATAACTGCTATGATTATGTATGAAGTGAATAGCATTATGAATTTGCACCAGGGAGGTAATAACTTATTTTTGTGTGTTAAAATTAGAAATCTTGATAGTTGAGTGTTACTTTTTTCTACATGATGTCATCTAGGTAAGCTAGAAGTATGGCAGGCAAAAATTACTGAGCAGTAACAGTTTAGTTAGCTCAAGGTATTAAAGGTCCTTTCTTTTGTACAGGTGCAAGTGGCATGAAGAAAATGATATTCTCTTCTGTGCTTTAGCTGTTTGCAAGAAAATTGCGTAAGTAGGAGAAAGGGTCTTCATAATGCTGTATTCTGCATTGTATTCTTTGTCATTTGCTTATTGCTTTGATTGGAGTAAACAAATCACTGTTCACCTCCATTTTCACAGTTTTCTTAAAGAACTTTTCTTTATTTTTACTTCATGTTAACTTATTATTCTGTAAGTTATTGCTTGTCTGGTATAGTTATACCAGAGCAACTTGATGGCCCCTCAAAAGCTCAAGTTGAAAACTTTCCTTCTGGGATTCCTGTAGGAAAGTGTAATTCCCTGTTATCATTAAGGGTAACACTTCCTTGTGAAAGTGCTCAGAGGATATGGAGCCCTGTCTTACTTGACTGTGAAGGCACCTGAAGCTTCAGGTTTCTGGCAGTCTGTGGTCCCTTTATAGGACTGTGATAATTGGTTCTAAGGATAGATAAGTTTTTTAAAGTTTTGGTCTCATTTCTGGTGGTTTCCTCTGCCTGCCTTCAATATTTGAGAATTCTGGTGATTTTTACCCTCACTCCTTTATAATGAAATTGTAGTATCTAGTAATCACAATGTTGTTACTAGCAGTGGTCAATTCTAGAATACATTTTTCTAATTCTCATTTCTCCAAATCTTTAGTATTTTCCTTCTTCCTAGTTTAGAATGGCGTATCTTAGTAATCTTTTTAGTAGAAATTTAAAAATATGTGAATAGTTCAGAATGAATTGATGAGGTTGTGATAATGAGCTTTTTCTTCCTTTTTAAAGGTACTGCATCAGTAACTCTCTGGCTACTCTCTTTGGAATCCAGCTCACAGAGGCTCATGTACCTCTCCGAGATTACGAGGCCAGCAATAGTGTGACTCCCAAAATGGTTGTATTAGATGCAGGGCGCTATCAGGTAAGGAACTAGCTTTGGGGGGGACTGATTACTGGTGTCTTCTCATGTCCTAGTTACTGTGTTCAGCCAACAAGAGCTTAGGAGCAAGCCAATGTTTGAGTCTCTTCCCTCTTAAATATATATATATTTTTAATTCCTAATGGAATGTAAAAACAGTTCTTAAACCAGATGTATCTTGCATGAAATCTTTTTCTTTCCCACTATATTTAATAAAGTTCTAAAAAAATTAAATTGGCAGTCTTTATATGAAACATATACAAAATTTTATTCCAAAAATTAACTATCTAAATATAGATAATGCAGATACTTTAAAAGGTTTACTTCAAAAAATATATAAGATCTGATTCAGGATTTGATGAACAGTTGTCTCATTTCTCTACCTTTCTTCCCTTCTTGTTGTTTACTTACTAGTAGGCCTTTGTACAATCCTAAGAGCATAGTAGTTATGCTCTAGAATTCAGGCTCTAGAGTTAGAAGGATTGAATTTCTAACTATGCTACACACAGGTTGTTGGACTTTGCGTAAGTTACTTCTACTGTCTGTGCTGATCCAGTCTGTAAAATAAGCACAGTTAGAGCAGCCAGTAGTTGTAGAGTTAAATCCATTATTGTATGAACATGCCAAGAACTCTGCCTTCAAACATAATAGATTATAAATAAATATTACTGTTTAAAAATAAAATAGTGAAAAGGGAATCCTAAACTGGCATGAACTCTTGATGCAAAATTAGGATAAATCTCAAAGCCATTAATTATGCTGGGTGAAAAAAGCAATTTCCAAGTCTTATAAGTACGATTACATTTTTAAGACATTATTGAAAAGACAAAGCAACAATGATGGAGAGCAGATCAGTGACTCCTGAGGGCGGCTGGGGTTGAAGGGTGTTGCTGTGAAAGGGATAGCGTGATGGAAGCGTTGAGCTGATAGTCTTGATTGTGGTGGTTATTTCATGAATCTGTTCATGTAATAAAACATACAGAAGTGTACAAAAAGTCCATTTTAATCTGAGAGTTTAAAAAATGGAAAAATGCCCCAGAGCTCTGCATATATTTTCTTTATTACCTTCTCTTTCCTCTCTACTAACCCAGTGATTGTCAACTAGAGCCTATTTTGTGTCTTCCAAGGGATAGTTGACAATATTTGAAGATATTTTCGTCTGTCACATCTGGGAAAAGGGGTTCTGCCAGCATCAGTGAATGGAGGTCAGAGATCCAGCTACCCAGCTTACAGTGCACAGCTTCCCACAGTGAAGTGTTACTTAGCCTAAAAGGCGGTAAAGTTGAGGCTTGAGAGAGCCTGCCTTAGCCATATCATCGTCTGTTGGAGCCACCAAAATTAATCTCACTTTGCCCCTTTTCCTTATTTATATTAGTCACTGGAGAAGCTCAGGAGACAGGACCTCCTTGGTGGTGTATTGGGTTAAAGCACCGCACTAAGAAGCTAAAGCCACTTCAGCATGAGCTCAGTTCCCGCCCTGGAGCTGACCCACATGGCGCGTCAGACCTCTCCTGACCCGCCCGGTGCTCCCCTCAGCATTGTACTTGTTCGTCAGCTTGTTCTGCTCCCCACTCTGTCTCTGGTGAATCCTCTCACTGCCCTTGCTCCTCTGACCTATACCCCAGTTCTGTATGCATAGATAAATAAATCTTGAAAAAAAAAAAAAAAAGCACAGGAGACATACATTCTTCCTTGTCTCTCACATTAATCTTGGTTGTTCGTATTTCTCAACCTGCTCAGTGTGTGAAAAACTTTCCTGTGTACCTTCTCAACCTCAGTTAGCAAAATCTCTGATATCTGCAGTCATTTCTTGGAAAGGTATGTTCACTTTCTGAATTCTAAAATTTGGCTGTCCTTTAAGGATACTGCTTCCCTGTTGCCTTAAGGATACTGCTTCCCTGTTGCCTTTACACATGGTGATACATTTTTCTTCCTCACTCATTTTAGGCCTTGGTTGGAGGTGGTAGTCCTTGTTTAACTTGATAGCTTCCAGACTTCTTCCTGCCCTCTCCCTAGGCTGTACCTGATAAACCACTATGTTGACTCAGTGAGCCCCTGAATTAGTGGTCTTTATTTTTAGACATTCACTAAGCCAGAGAGCAAAACAGAATTGTCAAACAATTCTTGATTTTAGTTTTCTGATAGGCAATTCTGCCTGTCTTCTCAGTTCCTTGGCTGCTGTTTCTCAAGTCATTCTGTCACCATACATCAAGTATCCACCCTCATGATTAGAAAATAGACCCCCAAGGTGGCACCTCTATTGCCTCAGTTTAAAGCTTCTGCTCTCTGTCTTCCTCTGGAAGCTCAGTGTCTACAATACTTTGATGTCCACTTGGACATACAGTTTCTATGAGCCTCTGGTGGTTGATGCTCTCTCAGAGGGCCAGGCATTGCCTGAGTCCAGGGACACCCACCATGCTCACAGGTGCAGTGCTGCACCCTTGTATCTCTGTTTCTCTCACCCCCACCCTTCACCAAGCCTTCCTTTCCAGCTTAGATTCCGTGGTCTGTCATTTCTACTATCAACTGCATTAACTCTATTCTGCATCATCATTGGTTAACAAACGCTAATCATGATTAAACTGGACTATTCAGCTACTTTATTTCTATACTTTTGAAATTAAATGAGGCTAGGGGCCTCCTTGTTGGCCCAAGGGATTACGTCTCAACACTATGAAGTTATTTGTTTGATTCCCCAGCCAAGGAGCTGACCCACATGGCGCAGTGGATTTTTCTGTCTTGCTTGCTGCTCCCCTCAGCAGTGGATTTCAGTAGATTTGCCTGTTCTGCTCCCCACTGTCTCTCATCAGTCCTCTCACCACCATCCCCAACCCAATCTCTGGTGTACACCCCCAGCTCTTGGGTACATAAGTAAATAAATCTATGGGAAAAAGTGAGGCTAGACGGAAACTACATACTGACTGGGTATTAAATACTTATCACCACCAACTTCAGGGGGTTGCCTGGCATTGGTTGCTCTGGTCTGATTCATCTCTCATTGTGTCAGACAGTTATTTTTCACCTTCCCTTCACCTCAGACTTTATCACCTCTTCCCATTTTCTTGTTTATGCACTTCTCTGGGAAAAAAAAAGCAGAATAGATTTTCTATGTATTATACTGCTTCTACTTGTATTCCATAATATACTCAGCATGTATTCTGTTTTAGTGGATTGCCTGTGTTCTGTCTTAAACCAGCCATTGTATTTTATATAGCAAATCCCATTTGCTTACCTACTGAAGGAGTGGACTTCAGTAATCTCCCCTTTCTCAGATCATCAGGTTTCTCTCTCCTGAACCATTCTTAATAGCAGATATGCCATATCTCACCTTCCAAAATAAAAATCTTCTCAGCTGTGTACGTGTTCCAGATACTACTTTCTACTCCCTTTATAGCAATATTCTCCAAAGGTTGATGTCATCCATTAGAAAAACTGATGTTAGTGTGTTTCTTCAGAATTGTTGAAATTTGATGTAGAAGCACTAATAATTGATAATGAGTAAATTTTTTTTACTGGTACTTTTCTGTTACAGAAGCTAAGGGTTGAGAGTCCAGGATTCCCTCATTTCAGCTCTAATCAGGACCAAAGATCAAACACACCCACTGGTATGCTGCTTTATTTTATAAGACTGCACCTCAAAGAATTTTAGGGCTTTAAAAAACTTAAGATCCTAGGGTATAGTACTTACACTGATGTTTTAAGTCAGCTTTAGAATATAAGATCTTGTTTAACTGGTTGTTTTATTTGGCATTAGCACCTTAAGTAATTTGTGTATGTACATTTTTGCACCACTATAATACAATTTAGTCTTCAGACTTTTGTTCAGGGCCATTCAAAAGAAAACCCAGATAATTTTAATGTGATGTTGTCTTATGGGAAGATGGCAAAGTTTAAAAATGAGTGACATAAACTTTCAAGTGGTGCCAGAGAACTTTAAGATTTCCAGAGAAATATTCTTGTTCAGCCTTACTGAGCTCTTGTTGAGCATTACTCTTAAGAATGCTTTCCTTTACTCCAAGCACTCTCCTAGTTATGATGTATTTATTGGTAATTATGACTTAATGAGAGGTCTGTGGTAGGATAAGAATCATTTGAAGAATCTCTTCATAATGAAACTAAGATTTGGTTTTTTGTATTTTCAACATTCTAGGTGACTACCCATCTGGGGTAAAAATTTCTGGCCCACACAGCAGTGTCCGGGGAAGAGGGATCACCCGCTTACTAGAGAGCATCTCCAATTCCTCCAGCAATATCCACAAATTCTCCAACTGTGAGACTTCACTCTCACCTTACATGTCCCAAAAAGATGGGTACAAATCTTTCTCTTCCTTATCTTAATGATGGTACTTTTTTCAATTTCTGGAAAAATGACAGGCTCAACTTCCCTTCTGACTAAGATCATATTAAACAGATCACATCAATGATAAATGTCACTACAGTAAAAACTACTGAATTTGTAAGGAAATTCTGTTTCATAGATTAAAAATAATTGTGGTTGGAGAAGATCCTGGAACTTTTGCTTTTTTTTTTTTTCTCCTGAAGGCTTGTTCTACTTCCTGAGTGTAGATTGGGATTCCATTAAAATTTTGAGTCCTATAACAACAAAATTGAAATTTGCAGAGTTGTGCTTTTGGGAATTTTATTTTTGGGTAATCTTTTTCCCCACTGTAATACAGGTATTGAATATCCATTATAAAAGGTTTTAAAAATGTTTATTTTTTCCCATTGTGAAATGTAGAACCTTATCTTTGAGACCTATAGGTTATTTTTCATCATAAATATCTAAGCAAAGGGCCTTTAACAAAAATAAAGTTTTGATACTTAACATCTTCCAAATATGTTGATTTCAGCAAAAGAGTCATTTGAAGAATGAGAAGCCAAAATGGGAAAGATTGTATAATTTCTCCCAAGTCATATAGCCACATAATGACTGAGTTTCAGGTACATTTGCTCACAAAACTCTTTACATACACTAAGCAGATGTCATATGGAGCCAAGTATTCCCTCTGTGACTGACTTATTAAGTCTTGTCCTTTCCTTGAAATATTATGCAGCCTTGGAATAGGAAAAGAGATGTAGTGGTCCTTTCTTCTGGGAACGACAGCCATGGGCAGTGTAGAGATGGCATGTAATACTGACTCAAAACCCTGGTCCGTCTGTTAAAGAGAATGATTCAATGTCCATCATGGGACTCTGGTTTTTCTTTACACCCATATTCTCTCTTGTTGGATAATAAGTAATTTTTTTTTTTATGGAAATAGCATATCATGTGAAAGCCTTGTAACTATTCTGAGGAAAGAGATAACATCTATTTTACAGACAGGCACACTACGGGCTCAGAAACTTGGGACATACTGTTACTGAGTGGAGGGACTATTAATCAGGTCTGACTGATTCCCAAGCCATGTTCTTTAAACATCACATTCTCCTTTACTTCCTTTACCTCCTTTGCCTTTGTTTTGGTGCAGATCTTTGGACAAGTGCCAATTCATAGGATGTAAGTTTACATATTGAATTTTCTTTTAGTGTATTTAAATAAAACTTGTATCCAAACTTTAAAACTTTTTGTTTTAAAAATAAGCATGATAGGTGGCTTAGGGGTTGTAAGTTTCAGTACTATTATGCTATCACCACTGTGGCCTGACTTCCATCCCTGGCCAGGGAGCTGACCCACGTGGCACGGCAGACCTCTCCTGTCTGCCCACTACTCCCCTCAGCAGTGTATATCAATAGATCCTCCGGTTAAGCTCCCTAACCTTCAAGAAGACTTAAGTGACTAGATACCCTAGTTGAAGTTAATTTCTGCTCCAAATCCAGTAGTATTTTGTTATCTGACAACACTTTACAGCTTTTAATTGCTGAAATAACTTCTTTCCTCAGTGGCAAACTCTGATGTGTGTGAGAAGGTGTTCAGTAAACATTTAAATGAATAATTTGTAATGGAGAGGAGATGCCAGAATTTCAGATCAACCTCAAAAGGAAAGGAACTCACCATTCTCATGAAATCGGTTTCTACCCCTTTCCTGAAAACTACATGATTGCCTTAATTTGTTCAGTGAACATGTTTTTAAGAATCTGTTAAGTGATGGACTAAGTAAAGATGAATAAAGATACGGCTCTTGTCCTCAAGGAACTTATAGTTTAATGGCGGTGGTAACACATTTTAAAAAGTGCTATTAAGACACGTAGATCAGTGGAATAAAATTGGTATTCATATGGTAAATTTTTCAGTAAGACTGTAAAGACCATTTAACAAGGGAAACAATAGTTTTCAAGACACAGTGCTGTGACATGGCAGATAACCACAATCAAAAGAAAGAATTGACTCTACTTCACACCATTCACAAAAATTAACTCAAAATGGATGACTACTTAAGTGTAAGAATTAAAACTATACAACTCTTAGAGGGAGATATAAGTAAAAATCTTCCTGACCTTGGATGAAGCAACAGTTTAAGAGAATCAAAAACGAAAACAAAACTGAACTTTATCAAAAGGTGACGGACTTAAGAAAAAAGTATAAAATTAAAACATTTATTCTGAACCATGAGTTTTTGGGGGGCATGGTCGAAGGTTCCAGACTGAATAAGCAGTGTACCAGAACCCTATGGAGACCTGTGTGGGGCTTGAGTAGGCATCTGGCGGTTCTCGGGAGAGAATGAGGATACCAGGAAGATGGTCCTGGTATCAAAAAAGTAATGCCAATGACGTTGTGATTGTTAGCTGATTGCAGTAAGGTGGGTTTCTGTGATGGGGCAAAGATGTGATATATGAAGAGGTAACATTCAGATCTATAGGACTGTCAGGAAATTGTCTGGAACAATTGGAAAAGGCAGAAAGGGGAAGAATTGAAATTGGACCCTTTTCCCACCTTATTAACAAAATGCAGTTTCATTTGGTTTAAGGATTTAAATATAAGAAAACCTATTTTTAAATCTCTAGGGGGAAATGCATTAATATTCTGACTTTGAAGTCAATGATTTAAGAATAGTTATTGAGTTTACTTAAAAGAAACTTGATCCATATGACTACATTAAAGAATTTCTGTTCATTAAATACAAATGTATAGAGAATACGAAAAAACAAGCACAAAGGAAATTATAAGCACAGAATCAGTAGTGATTGCCTTTGGAGGATAGTGTGAAAAAGCAGAGAAATGTATTATCAAATGCTACATTTAAAGATGATAAAGAGCAAGTTTTAACAGCAGCTTTTGGTGATTCAGGCAATAAATAGTTTCAAGTTACGATAGTTAAAGACAGTTTCAAGTAGGTAATATGGAAAAGGGCTAAGTTAATGATTTACCCAATATTTCTATTTCGGAAATAAAGGGAGGAGAATTTCCTAGTACTATCTCAGTGAATTTGATGTCTTTATCCACAGTTGACTGAAACTTTGTGTCCTGACTTAGCTTCCACAAAAGTCCAAAGCCTTCAGTTCAGCCCCAGTTGGCTGCCACCTGGGGATTGATTCACCCACCACCTCACAGTTTGAGGAGTCAAAAAAGTCCATTTCTCCATTTGAGATGACAGACAAGGAGATGCAATTTAAATAAAGTTGGCTTCTAAGGAGCTGTGAGGCAAGTCTGCCAGCAGCATCCAAAGGGCATCTACGATTTATACAAAATTAGCTAAAAGTAACCTACATTTTCCATCTCCTGCTGGCACACAGTGGTGTTAAGCACCATTATTCTAGCATAACTGTTCACAAAGGAGGGTGAGAAGCACTTAAGGAGCCTTTAACTTTTAGCATTAGATCCTTGACTTTCACCAGGTGCTTTGGTGCTTGTGTCATGGTCCAGTGCTGTTTCTGCTGTGATTGTGGTGATTTCACTCTGTGGAGAGGATCTTTTCAAATGCTGACGTCTCTGTTCTTTGACTGCCTCTCCTTAGTGAATTTATCCTTCGTCCCACTTTGACTACCCTCTCTCCTCGCATCTCCTCGTTTTTACCATTACTAGTAACAACCCCACTGTACAATACATTTATATGAGTATTCCATGTTCTACTCACTACCGCAAGTTTTAGCTCATTTCTGACACTCCAGTGTCAAGAATTCTGCTGCCCTTGGGTCCGACGACCTGTTGGTCCATCCTTTTCCTGTCTCTTAACCACTTTTGTGTCCTTATTGTGCTGCTTAACTGTGTAAAAAGTCACAAATGTCATAATCACTGCCTTGTTCATCTTTTCCTTTAATTGCTTATCTAGATCCTTGTAAAATTCAACTCTGCCTACTCTGTGTCACCACCCACACCTCTGAATATCACTGGAGCCATAGTGCCCAGTCTTATATAAATGGTTGACCACTACCCTAAGGGCCCCCTTAAAGCTGCTTTATTTCTTTGTCTGCTTGCTTTCCCAAACTCTTCTATGTGACTTCCGTGTTTCCTTAAAATGTGAATGCCTCGGTCCCCATCCTAACTCCTAGCTAGCTTCATGCTTTATGAGAAAGATTCAGAAGAGAACTATGAACTCCTACCACCATATCTACTCAGCATCTGCCCATCTCTGTGTCCCCTTCCCCCCAGCCCATTCAAACCCACTTTGTTGCCACTTCACGGCAGGAACACAATGAAGGAATGCAGTTGTGGAGTAGCTTTGCAAGACGAGCAGAAGTTCTTATGCCATTTATTAAAAGGGTTAGTAAATGCTGACCATGCAACAATGGTATGAGGTACAGGGTCTGGATGGTAGGATAGGAATGGGGGACAACGTTTTACAAGGGACAGGGAAGGGCATATCATAACCATGTGTTGAGACATTCGCATCAGCAAAGTACAATGTTACCACAGGCAGAGTTATCCCAAAGCCACCATGGAGATCATCATACAGTCAGATCAGCAGCAGCCTAGGCGTCCCTGGGCCTGCCTAGCAATATGGGCTATTCTCCATGTAGTCAAGTAATGTTCTGCAAATAGGTCACAGTTGCCTATGAATGGCCAGTTAGTAGCCAGCTCATAGGAACCCACAAGGATGACTTGGTCATACTCCTCCAGGCCAACACTACCCTCCTCCACTCAAGTCTAATCCCCTCAGAACATTTTTGTCAGTAGTTCTCCTCTACCACCCTTGCTGCTTCCTCCCTACTTGAGCATTCAGATTACTGTACAAACTTGATTTTATTTCTGCTATTAAATAGATACACAAAACAGGGCCTTCCTGGTGGTGTACAGGTTTAATCAGCACTGTTGCCACTGCAGCCTGAATTTGATCTCAGGCCAGGGAGCTGACCCGCTGCTCCCCTCACAGTGTTTCAGTAGCTAGACCTGTTTGCTCCCCACTGTCTGTTGAGTCCTCTCACCCCCAGCACCTGTGGCCTATACCCTAGTTCTACACACACTAATACATAATATACATAAAACAATTCTGCTTCCCTCTAGCTACTACTACATTATTGGCCCACTTTCAGGGCAAAGCTTCTCAAAAGAAGCCTCAATACCTCACCTCCAAATTGTCCTTTGGACCCAGTAATCAGGCATTTGTAACTTCTTATCAAGGTCACCACTTTAATAAGTGCTAAGTTGAATGTTCTCAGCCCTCATCGGAGTGTACCAGTCCGCACATTTCTCAGTCACAGCTGGAACAGCTTGGCTTCTGGGACATCACAGTCCTTGTTCTCTCCTGTCTGATTATTCATCAGTCTTAGCTGTATTATCTACCCTCTTCAAAATTTTAAGTTTCTCATGGCTCAGCCTCCAAAAAGTTATCAACCCACTGATGCCCTAGTTCAGACTTCTGGCTTCCAGAACTGTGAGAATGAATTTCTACTGTTTAAAGTCACCCAGCTTGTGGTAATTTGTAAGGGAGCCATAGGAAATTAATTTTGACTTCAATAAAGCCACGTAAACCAAGTGGTTTTTCATCTTAATTCATGCTGGAGTCCAGAGCCTTCCGACAGCCACTAAGACACATGCAGACCTCTTTGGCCTTGCTTCTTGCCTTCAGCTTTGCTCTCTTGCCCCAGTCACACTGCTCATCTTGCTGTTTATTTGAAACTTTCAGGCTTTTTCATTACTGTGCCTTTCTCACTTAACTCTGTACCGGAGAGATGGCTGCATTGTAGTATATAGAGATGCTCCTCATTGCTTATAGGTAGTATTTCATTGTGTAGGAAAACATTGTTTATCTTACTCTGTTGATTCAGACTGTCGCCAGTCTTGTTATTAAAATTGTGCTGTAGTGTCTGGAGCGTACCTCTTTTCACAATGGATTTTAAGATTTGTGTCCTGGAATCTGGATTTCTAAAGTATAAATACCTAGCTTGATTTCTGGGTCAGAAGGTCAGTGCATGCATCATTTTTCTAAATACCACTGCTTTCTCCTCCATCAGGACTGCCATTCTGTGCTTGTTTTAACCATATTCTTACCAATAGAGAATTATGTCAAATTTTAGGTTTTTTTTTTTAAAGATTTATTTATCCATACAGAACTGGGGTACAGGCCAGAGGTGCAGGGACAGTGAGAGGATTCACCAGAGACAGAGTGGGGAGCAGAACAGGCTGACTGATGAAGTAACACTGCTCAGGGGAGCAGCGGGCGGGTCAGGAAATGTCTGTACCATGTGGGTCACCTCTGGGGCGGGGATCAAACAATGCTGAAGTAGTTTTAGCTTCTTAGTGCTGTGCTTTAACCTGCTGCTCACCAGAGAGGGCCCCAAACTTTAGGTTTTTGCCAGACAAAAGGGAAATATAATGTAGTTTTAATTTACATTTATCTTTTTAGTATGAGTGACCTTGAGTATCTTTTTTCATGGTAAAAAGGTAATTTTCACATTTTTACAAATGCATCCTCTATCCAAATCTTTAATGGTACATTCTTTGGGTTTTCTTTCTGTTTCAAATTTTATATCTGTAAACTGACATGAGCCTCAAATTTTAGCAATAGACTATACAGAGAGACTTCGGCCTGGCAACACTGCAGTTACCACTGGTGTGGGACCATGGAGAACTGTAGACATGTACAGTACTTGTACTGTGTACAAGTATTTCCGAGTATTTGTTGGGTTTTGGGTTATGAGATAGAAGATCTTGGATTTCATGGCCATCTAAATTAACTCATTAATTCAACTAATATTTGCTGAGCACATGCTGTGTGCAAACGCTGTTTTAGGTACTAGAGAAACAACGTGAACTTACTCTCTTGCCTCAGGGAGAGAATGGAAAAGGGAATGACGTTTCCCCCCCTTGTCTGGGTGAACAGTCACTGCTAAAAGAATATACTCTTGGTTCACCTGATTCTCCCATGTTTCCATTTGCAGTACCCAGAAATTGGGGCTGAGTCCTACTGGTGAGTCAAAGCAGTGGGTAAAACCCTAGTGTCTGCCATAGTGATGCCAATTAGTGCCTTATCTGTTTCGTTCTCTTTTTATCATCAACAAAGGAAATGCATCCTGTCATCCTGCCCCTGTTCAAAGTCACACAGAGCCAGGGTCCCTGGTGTTCAGGTCTTCTGGGTTATTTCATGGCCACCAACCTTGCAGAGGTGCTAGGGGAGCAAGAGTAACTCAATCCCATCCTGTGCAGAGACTAGCTCATACGAATGAGCAGTATTTGGCTGGTGGTGGCATTGTTTCTGGCTGACTGCTCCCTGAACCCACCTACATGCTGGCCGCATAGCTCTCCTGGGTCCTCAAGCTGATTCACAGGGACTTCAGGATGTTTTTAATTGATGAGGGAGGCAATACAGCTAGAGAAAAATGGAAGCAGAAAGATAAAAGCATGCTAGGAGGGAGTAAAGCTGCTCTGAGCTGATAAACCATATAGATTGTTCCTAAAGGGAAAAACTAAGGTTCATGATAGAATTGTACTTAAGTAACTGATGGTTGAGGGTTCTGGATTTCTCTCTGAGATGAAAAACTGGAATAATAATAATAATAAAAAAACCAGAACTTAGACCAAGGTTTGGGTCTGAGTTTTGTCACCTTGCCGCATGATTCTTGATACTTCAATCTTCCGAGCCTCAGTTTCTTCATCTATAAATTGAGATCAATAATGTCTGTTAGTGAGGCCATAAGGATTCAAAAGGGCCATGTTTGTAAATATGCTTTATAAGTGCGTTCTTCCACTCCCTGAGCTGGCTGGCTATGGTCTCCTGATAAGCCGCACCTCCTCCCTACTCCCTGACAACCTCAAGCATGCGTGCTCACGCCAGCAGCTATTTAAATAGGAAGACTGACTAGTAGTGATGCGCGCAGGCTGATTTGTCTAGAAAGTTGTTCAATTTGTGTTTCAGTAAGATCTCTGAAGACTCGTCCAGGATGCCAGGTGAGATGAATCCACAAAGCTCCAGCTCCCAGGCAGCTGTGCCTGTGCTCTGTTTTAGAGAGAGAGGAAATAATTGCCTCCTGGCCGGGTGAGCTATCTCTTCTCCCAGGAGCACAAAAGAAAATGCAAAAACATTTCTAGTGTTGATTGTGAAAGGGAGGAAAAGTAGCCGATAAGATTCCAGGTGTGTGTCTGCGTAGAACCACCTCTCTCCAAGATGCTGACTATGCTGATGCCACTTCCCCAGGGCTGCTAGGCTCCAGGGGCTCACTTGTGGGAAGCTAGCTGGTCACCCCCACTTGCTGTCAACCTGAAAGCTCCTTAACCTGGCAGAAGGCCAGGCTGACAGGTGTCTGTCAAGGGTGCTAGGAACCTGGGAAGTGAACTTGGCGGAAACAGGTTTGGCTTCTTGTGGGTAGCCTTGTTTTGATGTTTAAAGAAAAAAATCTGTAGCTGTCATGCTGAGAAAGCCATGTTCAGTTATGACTTCCAGCTGTGGAGTTCGGCATGCTGACTTAATGAGGAAAAGTTGAAAGAAACATGATGGGCCTGTTTAAAAATTTTTAAAAGGGAAAAGTCTACATTCTGCTCTTCTGCAGACCCTCCTCTCATGAGCTGTCCTCCAACTTTGCTGCTGGCCAGGTTTTCACTTCATGTCCTTTCCTGAGTTCTCCATGTGCCATGCAAGGATCCTTGGGACCCATCCTTGCTCCTATCTCATCACATAACCCTTTCCAGGGCAGCTGCTTTATGTCCATGACTGTCCCCATCTCAGGCTGAGCTCTTTAGAGGGGGGAGAGAGTCCACTCGCAGGGGCATGGCTGTGGCACAGGCAGCCAGCCCTGCCTGCCATCCAGCAGAGCCAGTGGGGGCCAGGACGGCTGGGCAGGGCAGGGGGAGGCATTGGCAGCAGGAGTGGACATGCTCATTACTCTGGCCTTGACAGCAGTGGCCACAGTGCCAGAATCCTGGTCCAGCTGCACACAAGCTGTTGCTTGTGTTCATTTAAACCAACTTGTTAAATAAAGTAGCAAATGGGTTTGGGTGGGAGTCAGCTTTGTGTTTAAAAGAATACTGGGGACACAAGAGAAGGGAAGGCTGTCAAATCAGTGCTTCCAAATTGAATTGCATTAGGAACCTGCTAGCGGGCTGCGCAATCCAAGTGGGGGGTGAGGGGTGCTGGGGGAAGCAGGAGAGTGAGGTCCAGGCCCTGCCCCACAGAGTGGTAGATGCAGCACAAAGAGAGAGCTCGCTCACAGAGCTGTGTGCATGGCCTGAGGGGGGACAAGGAGACACAATGTCCCCAACTGTGCAGGAGGTCAGGGTGGTGTTAGATGTATCTGGGACTTCAAGAGGCCTGGAAGGATAGGCAGTTGGAAAGTGTGTGGGTATTCACCACAGAACAGAAAAATCAAAGCCCCTCGAGGGAGAACACTGGAGCTGAGGAACCCTGGCAGGCAGGGGAGTTTTCTAAGACGAGGGAGCTGGAGGCCAGGTCCCTGAAGCTAAGAAATTGCATTAAGTTGGATAAATAAGGAGTTTTTAGCATAGCTTTTCAAAGTGAATTCAACAAAATTCAACAAAAATGTGTGCAAACACAGTGCTGGACATTCCTCAGGTGTGGCGATAACAGGTGGCATGGCATCGCGTCCGTGGCTCAGTCACGTTCATGTTCATGTTCCAAGCTCAGCGCTCTGTATCCGGCTCTTGCCTGCTGCAGTGGGTGGGGAGGCTGCAGGCTGGGCCTCAGCTACAGGGGTGGTGGGGGGAGGGGGACCCCACGAGGAATGCCAGGCCCAGTTCACAAGCCCAGGGAGGAGAGTTGGAGGGTCAGTTAGGCCTGAACTCTCTCAGCCAGCCACGCCAAGTCCTCCAGCGCTGACACAGGAAGCAGCAGCCCAGCCGTGAGTGGGATGGAGGACCAGAAAGAAGGGGCTGAGATTGCTGAGGGCAGCAGGGGCGGAGGCAGGGGCGGGGGACAGAGCCGCCTGTTAGAGATCTCACTCATCAGAGTCATAGTTGGTCAGCAGGTCAGGGTTTCTCCTGTCCTGCTCCTCTCTGTGCCCGTAGTGCGGCCCGTCTTCGTGCTCATAGTTGTCGTCCTCATACTGCCTTCCGGAAATCTCACTCACCTGATCTGGAGCCTCCCAGTGGACTTTGCGCTCCCTGTGGGAAGTGAGACAGGGCAGGGGTGTCCTGAGTCAGGCCCAAGGGAGCTGAGCCTGGTGTTCCCTGTGGGACCAAGAACATCAGACCCACAACCTTACCTGTCCCTCTGCAAAGGGACACCAAACTGAAGGAACTCCAGGGCTTGTTTCCTCAAGGGCAAGGGTACCCCACTGGACACAGAGTCAGCCTGACTGAGGCTCCACCTGTCACTGGGCTATAGACCTGAGATACCCCACCACCACCCCCGACGTGAGACTGGAGAACCACAGGCCATGGTGTTAGACGCGTGTCACCTTGTGTTGGGGACAGAGTCGGAAACAGTGCTCTTTGTTCAGTTCTGAAGTCAGGCTGGTCACAGAAGAGGTGTCTGTGCCATCTGCTCAGACCCACCAGACCGGCCAGCAGGCTGCCCTACACTCACCCCTTGGCACTGCCCTTGCTCCTACTCTTGTTCCGGGACAGGCAGCAGTAGATGATGATGCCGAGGATGATGACCCCTACCACGATGCCGGCAGCAACCAGGTATATGGTGATGTCCCCGGACATCCTGGAGTCTGCAAGAGAAGGGAGCAGCTAACCTCCTGAGCCGAGAGCTGAGCCCAGGCTCCCTCCAGGCAGAGAGAAAGGAGAGGCGGCCCACAGTCCCTGCTGCACCGGCCTCCCTCCCAGGGAGCTCTCCATGGTAGTACTCCAAGAAAGCTGGGCTTGGGGGGATGTCAGCAGGCAGGCGCAGGGCACCCTTCAGGATGAGGTGCAGACAGCACAGGCAGGCTAATGGCTTTGCATCCCTTCCCTCCCCAGGCTAGCCAGACTCTTGAGAAAGTTCTCCCTGTCAGCCCTGCCAGTTCCTCCTCTATCTTTTCCCTGAGCTGGTAGGGGTGTTCCATCCGAAAAAGATGGGGTCTATAGTAGTTAGCTCTGGATCCTTTCTCCATGGCGACTGAGCAGCCCTGTGGGCAGGCTAGGCCGAACAGGCTCCCTTCCATGGGGATACAAATAGCCTCTTGGTGAGGATCCTGGGACAGGTGCGTCTGGCTCAGGTCACCCCAGCTCCTGCCAGTGGGTGACCCTAAAGAGACTGCCACAGGGGTCTCTCAGCTGACCCCACCCCCCCAGCCAGTCATCTTCCAGCTTTTACTGCCTCCCATCATGAGGAAGCATCCTGCTAAATGTGTGATCCTACAAATCCCTTCACCTTTAAAGGGAGTGTTTTATATCTAAACATTTATATGTCCTGCAAAGAGGCTTTGGCATAGATGCTGTGAGAGAAGAGTTGAGAGGTCTCTGCCCTCAGGGCTGCAGGGACAGCCTCCTGCTGCCACCAGGTGGTTGACTGCATTTGGTGGGTCCTACCAAATTATAAGTAGGCCTTTCAGGGGTGGCCCATAATCCTCATCAAACTTCTTAACATGGCCATAGGGGTTCAGTCATGGGACTCTTGATGGCCAGTCCTCCCCCGCCTCACCCCTGCTTTCTTGCAAGATTAAATAGTAGGTATCTGGTAAGAATGTTTATAGACCCTTCTTCCCCAAAGGAGGCCCTAAGTTCACAGAGCATTTCCCAAAATACATTCTCTCAAGATGGCCTTTTAAACATCAAAAAAGTAGGACCACTCATAGATTTTCCTTGTCTGACCTGCTGCTCAGTACCCTTCCTCAAGCCGCCTACCCTGATCTGTATGGCAGGTAGAACAAATATTTCCATCTCTAATGTCACACAGGTAACTGAACGTTTAGATATATCAAAACCCCTTTGGGCAAATCAAGACGACTTGCCCACAACCACAAATTTAGGAAATGGCAGTGTTGTAACAATCCTATCTTAGGCCTACAACTCCCTGAATCAGTTGACAGCTTTCCTTAAAAAATTATAAAAGCAACAGGTACTTATTATAAGAACTTAGACGTGACATATAACAACTAGTTCAATTCCACCCAATCCATAAAATCGTTCTGTGCTGATCACATTAGTTCAAAACAAGACATGAGTGTCCCTGATCTTTTTTTGTGTTTCAGTCTTCAAGGAAAGATAAATGTGAAATAATGGTGCTTAGGGGATGATTAGAATTCAGAATATAAATGCTACTTGGGTTTATAGACAGGGAATTTAGTCTCCTCTTCAGCTCAGGGAAAGCCTCCATAGAGGACAGAGAATAAAACAAATATCACACATTAAGCTCATCAGCATTTTGCTTTGGGATTATTTTCTTCTAACCTTTTCACGTGACCTCCTTGAGATTCTTCCCTTGAAACCCAGGACACTATTTTTCTGGTTGCTCATAGAATTCCTTCCTGTGCTCTAGAATTCCACACTTCGGCCTGCTTTCTATAATATTTGTTCACATATGACAACATATGGTACTTCCATGACCGAAACAAATATAGAAGTTACTGAAGGGTTAAATAGGATCTTTCATCCTAGAACTTCCAGTGCTCTGGCAAGCACTGGGTATCTCAGGGGCTACACTATCAATGGTCCCACTTTTTTGACGTCTAAAAGGCCATAGTGAGAAAATGTATTTTGGGAAATGCTCTGTGAACTTGGGGTCTCTCTTTGGGTGGTCTATAAACATTCTTATCAGAATCCCACTATTTCAGAATGTGAGACTCAGTCTATATTAGGTGTCCACAATGAATATGAACAGTGGACTGATGAAGACAGGAACTTCAGAGAGCATTCAGGATCCTCTCCCTTGCTCAGACCAGCGGGACCAGTTTTGATCCTCCCTCTTGCTTAGTTAGGGTGGTGGAGAAACCATGACTTTTTCGTCCAAAGTCAACATTATCCTTCCCCAGTTCCCTGAAACAATCAGTGGAAATTAGAAGCTACTATGAATATTAGTAGGTGTATATCTGTTTTGATTCTGGATTGGGGCTCCCAAGAGCCTTTCCTCTTGAAAAGTACCCAACAGTCCTAAAATTCATGTTTCTGTTGCAGTGGCGACACCTTGTGATCAAAAGTGAAAATGCACAAAAGCAGTACTAACGTTACTCTGCACCAGCAGGTTTTGGGGAGAGTTTGGGGGGCCGGGTGGGGGATTTTGAGGAGAAGGTAAATTAGCCCTAGAGAAGACCAGAGACTCTATCAGAATCACTGAAGTCGAACTGATCAAACTTTCCTGCCGTCACCCAGCCCCTCAAGACCGTTTCTGGTTGTTGGGATCAGGGCTCGCTGCCACCTTTCAGCACTTTCTCCCCAAACTCTCTTGGGACCCAGTGTAAACTCCCCCTTCTTCCTTGTTATTCAAATTGTTTCCCCCTCAGTGCATGAAATTCAGCTGACAGGACAAGACATACAAAGGAAGCCCACAACAAGTTCAATCTCTTCACAGCCTGCAGGACAGTGACAGAGGTCACGCCAGCGTGCCGGTGACGAAGGACAGAGAGGCTGCGAGTGACTTGCAGCTCCCACAGTGGGGACGTTGGACTCAGCGCTTGTCAGCGGATTCCTGTTCCCGAGTTCTTTTTACTAGGGGCTTGTTTTGACGTATTCAGTCAAGGGAAGCAACTTTTTTTTTTCCTGTTAATTTTCTTAAATTACCTTTTACTGAGGTAATGTTGGTTTACAACACTATGTTTTAGGGGTAGAGGCTCATGCCTCCTCAGGTGTAAGTCACCACATCACACTTACTGCCAAAGGGCCTGTATTCTTCCACCGCAGTCCACAGCGCCCCTTTACTCCCCACCCTGCACTGCCCTCCCTAGTCCAGACCCTTCCCTGAAAGTTTCCCATCCTCCAAACGAGCTAGGATCTTGGACTAGGCAGATGACGGCAACGGTGGTGGTGGGGAAGGGGTTGAGACTGCGAGACTGCGGGATTCCCGCACAACTCAGCTTCAGCTGGTTGGTTCTACCTCACGAATTAAATGCAGATACTATCTGAATATGTAGTGAGGGCGGAGCGATGAGGAGCCTGCGGGAACACGTGGGTTCCCGGCCACGCGGGAGCAAGCGATATCCTCTGTGGACGCATGGGGGCGCCAGAGACCTGAGAGACGACACATCCCTCTGGTGGCGCGGTACCCGTCTGGGCCAAGTGGGCTGCTTTTGGAGAAGGGGTCCGGACGCCCCTGCTCTCCGTAGAGCACCCCGCCCGCGTGGGCAATCCGTGTGATTAAAGTCCTTCTGCTCCCAAATAGCTCTGCAGCAAAGCCACTTGGAAATTTCTTTTAAGATTTGTATGGAATCTTTGAACATGTAGAAGAAAATGAAATCTCTCAATTGTTTACTGAAGTAACATTGGATTTTACCAATATACCATACTGTTATATGTTTCCAGTTTGCATCATTACAAATCAACATCTGTACATAATACACCATGTCTTCTACTAAAAGTTCGATTTCACTTTCCTCTCACTGAAAGGGAACATTACTTTCATTATTTCCAAAGCAATGAGTAGTCTTTGCCCTTCCAGTCAACTAGTTCCTCTTAGTGAGGGCCTCAGCTGGGGGCCAGACAGGCAATTGGAGAAAGAGGAGGTGCAGGAGAGACTGGATTAAGGGGCTCATTTTCTGGGTTTGGTAATGTCTTCCCAAGGAGCTAAAGCAAACAAGAACCATGGGCTGCACTGTTATTTATAGTAGCTTTAATTGGAAAGAGCCTGAGGGCAGGGCAGGGCAGGGCCAGGCCCCCTGCACCCCCTTCTGGTGTAAGCTGGAGCTTGAAGAAGGGCAAAAGCTAAGACAGCAGGGACAGCTGTGATGTGGAACGAAAAGGACCGAATTTGTTAGACTACGCCTTCGGCTAAGTAGATACGCTATGGGGAGGAGCTAGAAGAACAGGGAAAATAGAAGAAACAGTCACAGGTGAATGTTCTTTTTCTAGAAGGTTTTTTTTTATAGTATTTTTAAAGAGGGAAAGGATCACCCACACAGCTATTTATTTGTGTGCGTCTGGGTGTCCACATGAGGTCTGGAATTTTATCATTAAAGATTACTTGTTACTGAAGCACATACAATATGATAAAGCATCTTCCTAGGTAAGAAGACTTGAAATTAAAATGTCATTCCTTTACAAATCAATGTTAGTTAAATTAATTCCAATCAACTTAAAAAGTCTGGGTCAAATGACTTAAAAATTAAGTTGGAGTATTAACATGTAAAGATGTCACCATTTTTAAAAGACTGACAAAAGGAGCTATGACATAGTGCCAGGAGTTAAATGCCAACTCTACAAACACTGATGAATTTATCAAAAAAAAAATTGATATACTAACTTATACTAACTATATATAAAAATACTGTAATCAAAAGCCTATGTGATCAGCATAGAAGTAATCCAATGGAAAATGACCATCATAATAATAATATAAAAAACAGCCATGTAGATGTGAAAGCTTAATATGTGACAAAGCTGGCATCTCAGCAGGTTAGAATTGTTTCTTTGGTACAATAAATAATGCTGATGTGATTGGCAATTCATCTGCAAGAAAACAAAAATTAGACTCCTGGCATTGTCATACAAAAATAAATTCCAGATGAAATAAAGGTTGAGTTAAAATAAAACTTACAGACTTAATAGAACTTTGAGATTATTCATAGGACCGAAAAAGTGATGATAAGAACTGGTATAAGACAGGAGACCCAAAAATCTGTAATAAAACACATAAGGAGGCTACGGAATGGGACTTGTCCTGAGTCTCAGAATTTCCCACAAGATTTCCAGATTAAGGACTCTGGATGTAACTGCCCTCAATACTTGAGAGAGGCATGGGAAACACTCCAAGGTCTCCCCAGAGGAAACCCCCAATTATTAGTTACCCTCAGTCAGCCTGTAAAGAGAAGACAGGGAATTCATTAGGGAAGAGATTTCTTTGAAGAGCATTTTCAGGGATAGGCATCCACGAGCACTGCTCCTCTCTCTCCTCAGGGAAGGAAGGGCGATATCCCCCATCTGAGGTCAAATCTGGGAGGCACAAGGGAACCCACAGGAGACTGGGGTTACCTATGTCTGGGGGCTGTGATCTCTCACTCCCTGGCTGAGCTCCCAGAATGCTCCTGCAGGTATCCAGGGGGCCCCCCCGAGGGCAGATTCTGGTGTACCCCATTTTCCAAGAGAAGCAGGGCAAAGGAAGAGTGGAATGGTAAGAAGGGTCTGCCTGCACAAGCTCAGGGTTCAGTGGGATAAAGGCACCCCTGGGCCACAGAGGACCAGCCTGGACCTGGAGACAGCAGTGAGCACCAGCCTAAGAGGGTCAAAAAAGGATGACACACTCTACTTGCATCAGGAGTAGGCTCCTGGATGTCCAGAGGCCCCACAGTCACCCCCATGGAGGAGGCAGGAATGAGATGGACACTCTGGGATTATGGGCCAGTCGAGGGGGGAATTCAGATGGCCCACTAGGTAGTCCTCTTGCCCTTGGCCATGACCTCAGAGGACCCAGGAACAGGAGGGAGAGGGCCAAGGAGAGTGGAGACAGACCTAAGCCCTTATTCCTCCATTCTGCTCTCCAAGTGATGGGGACATGTGAAGTTAATTGGATTTGAGATTAACATTTTGATTAACATTAGTTTTTTTCACTTAGCACATTAATTTACAAAAATGAAAAAGACTGATAACAGTCAGTAGTGGTAAGGAGATGAGAAAATAGGCACGTTCGTATAATGCCCTGGTAGTTATGGTACTTTGGGGAAAGTAAACGGCTCTATGGGTAACTTTTAATGAAGGCTCAATCTTTAGTCTAGAAATCCTACTTTTATGAATTTCTCCAATAGAAATAAAAGCAACACAGTGAAAGAACATAGGTGCTACAGATTTTTTAAAACATATAAACATTGTATATTCTTTCATGTGTGTGCCTGCCTATGTTTTTATGTCTATATGTTGTGGCATTGTTTTAAAAAAAGAGAGAGAGAAGAACCTAAATGCCCATTGTAAGGAACATGGGGATAAATCTCAGTGCATATTTGCTGTAAAGAGGTGGCTCTATGTGTAAATGATCTGGAGAAATAAACATGCAGCAGTAGAGAAGACTGCAAGCTACATTTATAATATTTATATATTTATGTTTTAAGCATCATAATATTTTACAATATTTGTATCTTTTAACCAGAGGTGTATGTGCACTGAGTGTGAATATATGTGTGTGTGCTTGTTGAGATGACAAAGGGGTCGGTGTGGAAGACTATTCCCCAGTATTTGGAGGGGTATAACCCACTGGAGGGAGGAGACAGGGTTACCTATTTTTTATTCAGGGCTATATTGTTTGACTGTTAACACCTCAAATAGCCAGCCAACTATCTATGCAATTAAAAATAAACTCCCAGTAAGCAGTGCAAGGGTTAAAAAATAAGCCCAAAGCATCCATTATTTTGATTTACTATGTGCCACCTCCCAGGATGGGGACCACCCCTTGCACTGGACATACGGTAAGCACTCACTCAAGTTTTTCCCATTAACTGTTGGAGTCATGTGCTTCCCTTCCCTGAGTCTCTCTTACAAAGGGGAATACCAAAATAGATCTTACAGATTTTTCTAAAACTGTCCACTCCAATCAGAAGTCATTTGTGTGAAAAGAATGTTTCCTTGGGACATATTTCAAAGGTGGTAGAAGCTGAACAGTGGTGCGCCTGGGGCCGAGGGCTGGGGAGCAGGTGTTGTGAAGGGGTCTACTGATAAGCTGACTCTATACCAGGAAAAGATGCACCAGCTTGTAGGGAGCCATGATGTGACCTCAGGACATCAAAGTAAGGCACCATGAGAGTCTTTCCAAGAAGATCTAGGGTCTCCCTTTAGAAGTTTAGCAAGCAACAGAGATGAGTTGGGGGTAGAGGAGAAGAAGAGATGGGCAGAAATGCCAAGGCTGACCCCCAGGGGACACTTCAAGACTGCCTTCCCTGCCCTGGGGAGCAGCTCTGTCTGCTGCCGGTCACTGACAGAGAACTCAGGACAGTGTGCTGATCCAAAGGAAGGAGCAGGCTCCTGCCCCAGGAGGGCTGGAGGCTATGGAGGAAGGGAGGGTGAAGTCTGCTTCTGGCTTCTTCTTCCCACCAGGGTTCTTCTGCTCCCTTCCACCCCCACCCATCACCACCCTCTTCCCGCCACCCCAGGAAGGAGATGGAACACTCACAGAACACCTGGAGGTGGACACGAGACTGGGATACGCCGGTCATGTCTGATATCAAAGACACTGAGCACTCATAGGTGCCATTGTCATCCATGGTCAGCTGGTCAATGATGATGGAGGCATCTGACTGTGCAGGGTCGCTCAGCAGCTTGACACGGTTCACATAACGTTCACCAAAGGTGACTTCTTCTTTGGAAAAGACCCAGATGAACACCTTCTCCTGGCAGGGGGATAGAAGAAATACTACTTGGTCTTCATCAGTGAAGGGTGGGGGTGGGGAAAGCCGGGGGTGGTGAGTGTTCAAGAAAAGTGCTTAGTGTGTCCAAAAAAAAAAGAGCTGGAAGTGGGAAATGATACATGCAACCCCAAATGGTTAAGAAGGAAAGGGGGGTGAGTGCATGAGTAGGGCTGTGAAAGGTGAGCCAGAACAGGCTGTCAGGAGGACCATAGCTGCTGTTTCTTGAGTCTGTGCTACATGCAAGTGCTAGTCTAAGCCTCTGCGTGGCCCCATGTAATCCTCATGAAATCCCCATGAAGCATGTATTTTAATTATGCCTGTTTTACAGGTGAGGAAACCAGGTACTGAGAGGTAGATGCCTCGCCCAAGTTCATGTGGCAAGACTGGGATTCACACTAAGAATCTGGGTTTCAGAGCCCAGATCCTGGGGATCCTTTGCCATGGCAGCTGTTGTGTGTGTGAATGGAATCGCTTGCATTTTGTCCCGAAAACACTAGATTGCCATGTAAGTTAGGAAGTTAGCTTTCAACACAGGTGGCAAAGGAGAACCAGTTAAGAAATCAGGCTGGGAATTAAGTGCAAAATGATGGGTCTTTGGCTAAGTGTTATAGCAGTCCAGAGAGAGAGAGAAAAAAAATGAATTTGAGACTCATGGCAGAAGTAGCATTTGGAGATGAAGTCAAATCAAATGTACGTGAAGCAGAGGCTTTATTCCACGGCAACAAGTTTTGGCTTGGATGTTTGGGTGAATGGTGATGTCACCTAGAAAGTTTTAAGTGAGAAATGATGCATTCTGCTTACAGGTAGTATGCTGAATGATGCATTCTGCTTACAGGTAGTATGCTGAGTGTGGAGGACAGCCAGGTGGGTGTGCTAAGTGCAGCTGGGCTGGAGGTTTGGGGGTCAGTGACACAGGGGTGTTAACTGAGCCATGGGCCTGATGAACGTAGACAAGTTGAGAAATGGCAAGTCCCAGAGTTACTTCACTGTGAAAGGTCGAGGAGACGGGAGAGAAGAGGAAAAAGCCGTAAGAGAGAATAACAGCAGCTAGGGAGGAAAGGCCAAGATGGGGAGGTGGTTAGTAGTGTGTAAAATGCTCACGAAAGATGCCGCACTGATAATAAGAGTAATATCCAGAGAAGGCATCTAAGGGTATTTATTGCAGTATTACTTGTAGCTGGAATAGCTATGGACATTGGTTTGTGCCCTCTTTGGTATGTTCATAAAAGAAATGCTGAATGAAAGTGGTCAAAGAATGATATAACGTCATAACAAATGGAGAGAGCACCAAGATATATTGTTCAGAGAAACAAAGTCAAGGTCAGAACAGTGTATGGCGGACATGTAAATGTCCATAGGTGAAGGTCAGCTTCTACATTTGCATAAGAGCATCACAGGTCCCTGGAGAAAGCTGGTTGCCTTTGGTGAGAGAACAGAAGTTGGGGGGCCTCGGGCGCAGGGTGGGCATATGTGCACCCTGCCTGCCTCAGGGTTGCTTGATCCCGTGCCTTGCGTCACTTGGGCACATACCACACACGGCTGTGGGGACACAGGCACGCTTGTGCTGGCCAGTGGAAGCTCGAATGGGCAATTGGATAAAAGCTCTTCTGGCTTCTGGGAAAGTGCCCCAGGGGTAGATGCGCACACACAGCAGGGCCGTGTGGCAGGGTAGTCTCACTGCTGGGGATCCGAGATAAGCAAGCAGCCCTGTGAGGAGGTGGCTAAGCAGCATGGGGTCGCCGTGCCATGGACCCCCTGGGGCTCTGAAAGGGTGACGATGCTCTCTATTAACTGAGGGGGGCTCTTCAGGGACTGTGATGTGAAAAATGCCAGGCACAAGCTGCCTAGCATATGTTACTTTTTCTGAAAAAAGAGGGGATGACAGGAACACAGGCAATGTGTGTAAGAAGTTATGTAATTATATTTTCTTGCATTTGCATAAAGACTCACAGGAAGAAACATAAACTAAATTGGTTATCTTATTCAAGGGTGATATTACAAATATTTAGTAATTGTTGTTCCAACCAGTCAGAAAAGATGCTGGCCCTGAGCAATCAGTGCTAGTGAAAATCAGCCTTGCCTTGTCTGTGGGGGGGGGCGGGGGGGGGAACGGGGCGGTTTT